TGAAGGATCTAAGAGCCATTCTACATTGCTCACAGATGTAAAGTGTTCAAATAATGTCCCATATGAGAGAGATTTCACAAGAAGGTGCAGGTGATAGAGTGGCACAGGATAAATTACAGAGCCACATCATTTGTACTGCTAACAAAAGCACCATGTGTGAACTAAACCTAATAATCTACCTGTTAGCATGATGATTAATACTAAGGAAATTATCAAGACACTCATTGTCAAAGTGTCACCTTCCACAGTTTCACAATGTTCAGCTGTTTGTGTCTATATACAAACCCTCACTGCAATTAACTACAACATTTAATACTGGGAATGGAGCTCGAGAAATATGCAAACATTTCAGAAGCTGCAAGGGCCCCATTCTGAGAGTTGAGCTCAAAGCAGAGTTTAAGCTTGAAGTCTTTTCCTCTGATTTCATACACCTGATCCTCAACTACTGACTAAGGGGATGCAAATTAGTTGTGAGTGTGACATAAATCAACGCTTAAATAAAGAAAGAATATAGCTACTAAATCTATTTTAGTACTTAAGAAGAAAAAAGTAGGTTGCTTTACATTTCCTTGGTTTGTAAGAACATGCTTGAATAGAACATGTCATCTTTTACTAATATGTACTAATAATTTTTAGTTGTAATCAGACTTTTAGAGTTTCAAAACCTCAGTGATAATGCTGCAATCTAATTTGCACAGGTTTTGTAATAATACTTTTTTACTATTTCAAGCTAGCTTTTAATCTAAAAACCTAATCACAGAAAGGTTTGGGTTGGAAGAGACCTTAAAGATCACACAAAGTCCAATCCCCAACCACAGAGAGGGACACCTTCCACTAGACCAAGTTGCTCAGAAAGACATTAGGGAAAAAGTTACAAGAGATAAGAATAAAAAAGGAAAACTTTTATCATTTATTAAATGGTCAGTCATTGAAAACATTTTTTTATATCATAAAGCAGATGTTTAATTGAGATAGATTATAAGCACACTTCCCAACTTTTTGCACAGAGGTTGCTAACACTGCTCTGAAGTTCTGTACAAGAAATAAAAGACCCATGGTAACTTCTCACAACCAATGTATATACACACCAAAATTTTCCTGGAGCAGTCCCTCATCTTTTAAGCACTGATTTAGTACCTAATCCACAGCTTCTCTCTTGGCTAAGGCTTCTCCATTGCACAGATGTAGAAGTGCCAGAAAAAAAAGAATTCCAACAAAACACTAAACAACAATAATTTTGAGGAAACCATCTGAAACATTAAAACATTATCAAGGAAAGCAATATAGTAAGCCACACTGTGACTGGAGATTCTGGATTTTCTTCAGCCTCTGAAAAAAATCCTAATCAGGTTGTTTTGGTCATCTCTTGCAAAAGCAATGAAGAGGCTTCTTTTGAACTTCATCTAGCAGAAAAATTAGAATCCCAGTTTGAGCAACTGCTTGGTTGTGATTATCAATACACTTTTCTGATAAAATCTTGGAAAAGCATTAAGAAACACTTTCCCCTACTTTGTGGAATCTGCCTGACTGGACAGAACAGACCCCTTTTGCCCTTCCATTATATTCTGCAACACCACCTGCATTTCTCCATTCAGACACACTCCACAGTCACTGGGTTAGATGCAACTGCACCTGACACAGAAACCAGAACACATTGTGGTCCCATAGTCATAGAGGTCATATATGAGCCTTAAAAACACACAGCAATTTTTATATAAATCAGAAAATCATATTAGCTACACAACTGGCTCTCTGATACTAAAACTAAGTTATAGTATTTTTTTAAAAATGTATAATTTGAGATTGCTTACACATACAGTTGAAAATACCACATCTGTGTAAAATTAAACCTAGAGGAACTGCTGACACACTTTTATAAATTTACAATTCTAGCCCTAATAATTAAAAACACAACAGAATTACAGGAGCATTTCCTAAGAACAGCAATAAGCACCAGGTTGCTTTTGTTCAGTATTTTCAAAGAGCAACACAGACCTCTACTGGCAACACTGGTGAGCAGGAATCAGCTCATACCAGCAGCAAGCTGGGGAAGGTCCTTCTCTGTAAGCTCATGTTGAGACCTTTAAACAGAAAAACAACACTCAAAATTGCACACACCAATACCTCCCAGTGGAATAAATCTTACTGACAGAACCGGCTGACCAATTTACACTACTCATGTTTAAATACCTTTTAAAACCAGGACTAACAGCACAAGAATGAACTGTTCAGTAAGTCTGTCCTTTTAATACAACAGCTCTACTGGGACCAAAAGTTACCTCAACTTTCTAATGTGATATTCAGACTAAAATTTTTATTGAGCTTAAAAAAACAGATGAACAAAGAAAACCTAAAGAATACTTGCACTTCACTGTCAGAAGAAAAAGCTTCCAAAATAAAAAGTAAAATATTTCACTAATAACTCCTGAGTTGCAAGGATCTCTTTGTTTGTAAGAACAAAATAATTTGTTAACCTTTTCCAAGTTGGTAATCAAAAATAATTAGGTGTTTATAAATGTAATTTTTAGTAGCTTTCCCCCTCACACATTCCACAGCAGTTTTAAGGATTAAGTTAAGAAAGTGGGTATATAATCTAGGAAGTTCTTACAGATCACTTTCCTAATCAGGAATGAAAAGAACCAGCCCAGGGCAGACAGTGTCCCTGTTTACAGACACGTTAAGGCAATGAGGCAATGTGTGACACCACTAAACCCTAGAACTCCTGAAGTCATCCAAAATATTCCCTCGGTAACTAAGCAAGCATCTCTTTTTCAAAAGTTGAGATTTTTCAACTCTAAGGGAAAAAAGTGTTCCTGACAAGCTACATAGAAGCCCCTGTATTAGATTCACAAATAAAGTGAATTAAGATATCATTCAATCTTTGCTGATCTGTTTCTAACATTGCCATCATAAAGCAGAATATATGGATGAATAAAAACATCACTTACATGTTCATCCATCTTTCAAGGGACTCTCAGCATTTTCCAAACTTTATCTTGAGCATCCAGCAATGCAGTAATTGAAAATGCATTTTTCTGACTGCAGACTACTTGATCTTTGTTCTACCCATCCAGAAATGAAACATTTCTCAACAAATAGACACTATAGTTCATTATTTTCAAATATTCCACTGAAACTCATTTGGACAACAATCAAAGGGTTCAGTTAATTTTTTTCCTTGCATTATTGAGTACAAATGCTCAACAAGTAACACAGTATTTTTAATATCTCTTTCTTCTTAATGAACAACAATATTTCCCTTAAATTATTTACGCTTACCTCTAAAAGAAAACATTCTGCTGTTCAGAAATCACAGGAATTTTTTACTCCTCAAAATACTCAGGGAGGAAATTATTACCTCCAACGTACACAACAAATTTAAAAGGAATATCTACAACACTAAGTGGAACACAGCAGTGAAATCCTAAACTAACTGCAAAATAAGCTCCAAAACTGCTAAGAGTCCCCTTGAACCAGCTCATTAATCCATGCTCCATGGCAACTGGTAGGAAATATCAGACACTGCATAGAACTAAAGCAGCACTAAATGCAACAAGATATGCAAGAATTTCAAGTAATAAGCCCATAACACCATCTGAATCAGAAATTTGCTACCTTCATACTTATAGACTCTGTGTCAAAGCAAAAGAGATTTGGAGCAAGGATATGATTGATTACTTGTGACCAATCCAGATTATAAACTAAGGGAGAAACACTGAAAAATAATTCAATATATGTGATGGTTTTGTCTTTTGCCATATTTCAAACATCTCCCATTCATTCAGCAAGGCTGAATGGCAGCTCTGCTCCTGCTGAAGGCAAATCCCTTTGAGTCCAGGTAATTCTTTAAATGTTCAGAGACTGCACAGCTGCATACAAAGCAAACTGTACTGCTGGATGCAATGCAGAGGAACACTGTACCAAGAATTTGGAACATAAACCTCACTAGAAAGCCCAAATTCATTGAGATAGGCAAGTACAACACTTGCTGCCCCAACTGCAGTGCCAATCTGTAGCAGCACATCAGGCACTGACAGCAGGATGTGCTGCTAAGGCCTAAACTGCAAGGCACAGAAAAGCTCTAAATTCTTCATGTGACTCCTGTGCAGTAACACTCCTTTAAATAATTAAGGAATAAAATCCAAAAAAACTCAGAGGGATAAATCCTGCTATTAACCCATTTTCCAGAACATCTCCTAGGTTTTCCAATGTCCTCAAAAATGCATTTAAGTCAAAATTATGAACTAAAATGAAAACCACCAAATAACTTGCATAAGGACACCTTCAATATTTATGCAATCCCATCACAAAGAAAAATGCAAACAACAAGAGGCAACAAAAGATCAACAGTTATCTGAATCTCTCACTCACCCACTACAGAAGCAGCAATATTTAACAGGTATCTAAACAAGCTGTGTGTCTGAAAGGATTTATGAACCTGTGAGACAATACAACTAAACAGGGATAGCTAAAGGTCAAATTGTATTTCTTGGAACTAAAGGAGCATCAAGTAAAATATTCTGACAAGTTCATCATCAAATTTACTTGAAAGTACCTTCAGAGATAAAAATTCCACAGCCTACTGGGAAAATCTTCACCTGAGTTTACTTGCTGGCATTAGGAAGTTTTTCTGAATACTTTACCTGAGCTGCCCTGCAGCCATACAAACCTCACTCCCTGTCCCAGCCACCAAGATCATAAAAATAAAATTCCCTTCCCTTTCACAGCCATCCTTTGTATATTTGGATAATGCAAAATGCCTCCATTAATATTTTTCTGGACAAAAATCAATTGTTTCAGCACTTGATGTCTTTCCTGTAGCTGTTCTGTAAGCTCCAAATTCTCCACACATTTTTAAAGAACCCCTTTCTAACTAGTGGTTTTATATGAAAAAAGCACAAGTCAAGTTTGAAAACCAAAAATACAGAGATATTTAAACAACCAAGTAGCCTTTAAGACAAAGTTTGCAATATTTTACCTTATATGCAATGTTAACCCACCTATTCCTGAATTGGCTCCTGTGATTATAACCACTTTCCCACTCAAGTCTCGACCCTGGAGAATTTCCATTGCAGTACTGTTCCCATCATATTTTTGTCTAGTAGTAGGTTTTACTGGATTATCTTCTACTGTAAAGGCCAGTCTTGGGTCAAGGTAGGTAGTCCTTTTGTTTATGTGGCTGAAAAAGAACACAAAAATTCAACTGTTTGAACCCTTCTTTTCTCTGCATTTAGATTTTAAATGTATTTCAACCACTACTGTGTACAATTCCAGTGGATTATTTAGATACTCAAAAATCAATTTTTTTTTCAATTTGATTAAAATTATCCCAGTTACTTTTTTCATCAAACTTTTTTCCAGTTGTGACAGCATCCATTAATAATTGTATTTACATACTTCACAAGCCTGAACTTCATGTGAACCCCTGATATACAAGGCAGAATTTTGTCAGAGGAAAAAATAAAAAAATCTTGTTGCATTAAGGAAGATCATAGAAGATCATGTTCTCTTAGTACATCTATAAAAAGACCCCACACTTGTCCTTGAAACAGTAGACACTGCAATAACTGCATTTGGATTCTGAAGCTGCATTTATTAATCTGTCTTTCCAGCTGATATTGTCACAGTATCACAACTCAGAAGGCTACTCAGCATGTAACACAGCTGTCCTCTTTCTACACACTCCACAATTTGAGATACTCACTCTACAAAATAGACTTGTCCATTTTCATCAGTCTCCTGCTCCCATCCATATGGCAGATCTAGGAAGTATATAAAACATTCACTTCATTTTCAGGCATTCGAATACTCTTCAAATTGAAGTTTAAGTGATTTCTTAGACTGATGAGACACAATTCTGCATGGTTTTCTGTAGGTGGTGCAGCTACCTGCTGCCTTTGAATATCAGAACTTGAAAGAAGGATTGCTTCCCCAATCACACACAATTGCTCTCTCATAGAAGTATAATACAAAGAAGATCTGGTACAAGTGCAGTGACTGGCAGATTAAGTATAAAGACAGTCTAAAAAAATCTTTATAAAGATTATTCCATGTAATAGCAAAGAAAAAACAACCAGCAAAATGTAACCGTGCTTCCAAGCACATACAGATCTATACTACTCACAGTTCAGTATGTATCCCTGCTAAAATAAATAGCAAAAACATATAGGAAAAGTTATGTGTAACACATACCAAAAGCTGAAGGTCAGAGCCCTCAAGTGGGCATGAGATACAATAAATCAAACCTAAATAATTCAATGAAGTTAGAAGGACTAATAAAAGAAAAATGAACACATGTTTACATAAGAAATTCTTATATAAAAGATCCTTCAAAAGTATCTAACAGATGGCATTCACAGTATTTCTAATCTTAGCTGGAAAGTACTCATTTCACTTTGATTGATTTAATATTTACCGAAAATATTTCACTTATAGTCAGATTACCAATGCCAAAAGAAATATGGCTTGCCCACAGTGTACAGAAGCTTCTGGAAGATCTGATTTAAGGCACTGATCCAAGGCCCTTGAGAAGTCATTTTCCTCTGGAAGTGCCTTGCAACACTGTCTGCCTTCTGCTCTGGCACAAATATTCACTTGGGTTGGGGAAAACACATAACATGAAAATTAATGAGACTTCCTTCTGTGCCAGGGATACTCCTTGATGAAATACCTTCTCAGAAGAATCCAATCCAACTATAAATATTATCTGATGGACACCGGGAACACAGAATCACAGTTTTTGACTATATGTTTTACAGGCCACACTAAAACAAAACCTGTAACCTGGAATTAGTATTTTGGCTTTATGGAGCAATACAGGAAAGCCATAAAACTGCAAAGTGATCACTCTACACAGACACAACCACAGAGGTAAAAACCCACTGAAATCAGATTAATTCTGCAAGGTCAGAATCAGTGACAACTAGGAGATGAAAATGAGATCAGTCGACTTTGTGCAGGAACCAGGTGTTTGTAATAGAACGTCAGCTCATTACAAAAGTTTAACACAAACCTCCTGCAACACGTTTCCTCTTCCCAGACTTAGGGTGTTCCCACTGTGTTTTTTCTTCTAGGTGGCTGCAGGAAAAGAAAAAGTTTAATGTTTTTAAAAATTGCCTAATAATCTTTCTGATGTAACCCAAAATATCGACACAGTTCTATAAGTAACTAAGCAGAGAGCACAGGAGTCTATAAAAATTCAAATAAATGTTTGACTTCCAATCCAAGTTTTGTTGCTTATGAGAAGAAAAAAACCCAAAAACTTGGGTTAAATAACATTAACATACTCCGAAAACACCTAAAAAAGATGATGATCCTTGGCAGAAGGAAGAAAAAAAGCAAGAAAAGAATTTATCACCAGCTAGTAGTAATATCAGCAAGTCTTCAAATTACAAAAGCACCTTTCTAAAACTCCTGCCTAACAATATTGACTTGTAAGGTATAACATAAGTACGTTGGATTTCTACATGAGCAATTGTAACTGGACAGATAAGTTTATCCACAGGCCTTGGCTAGCAGGATATTTATTTACTATATATAACAATAGTATCCCATCTTCTCTTTCAATTCTGAGACTTTATTCATTTAAATCACTAGGAGAATTAAAATACTCCAAAATAAGATTTTCTGCACTATAAACTAATAAGCGAAGTCACATGCACATAAACAAGGTCTTAAAATAACCAAAGTGCTGAAATCAAGTTGAATGTTAAAATCTCATCTTTCATTGAGTATTTTTAAATAACAACCAAGTTGTAAGAGTCAGGCAGGGATTAACTGAGTGTCCAAATTGATAGCTGCCCAAGTGTGAAATAAAGAGTGACAACAGCAATAAATAACTACAAATAACCTACAGGCCCAACAGCGATTTACACTCCAAATAAGCAACTTTCCCTTCTTACAGCAACCCCACACCGACAGCACATGGTATTACAGGGATCACAGCTGGGGAGCTGAGACTACACAAGTGCACCTGTGTGATCTGAAAATAGGAGATATTTAACCGAATTACAGCAGCCTGACAAACAAATGCTGTCCACCTGTGTGCACACCTAACTCATCATAAATACTTTTAAAAGTCCTTAAACCAAAATTACCTTATTCTGGCTAAAAGTGCATATTGGCGATGAGGTTTAAAATAAATTTGTAGAATATGCAGAAGTATCGCTGATACAGAGTGTATAATTAAAGGCAGCAGCACTGCAACACCTCTTCATGTCCAACATATTTTTAGGCACACTGGGCAAGATTTTCAGACAGTAAAGATATATTAATGTTAAGTCATTAAACTGAACCAGTCCAGTTCACCAGAGTTCAGACACCGGCCTGTTGAACTGACTGTGTAACAATTATGCTCGGTAACACTTTGTTACTTCACAGGTTTGTCGCTTTCACTGAGCGATTCCTTCCTGAAAGAGCTTTTGAAGTTGAATGAAATATACAGGCAATTGACCTAAGAAATTGCAGTGCTTACAAAGTGTGGATAAACTAAAGCATTCTGTCCAGTGTTTTTAAGAGCAGAATTTGGGAGGACCAGGCAAACTCACTGCGGGTGAGACTGAGCCATACTTTTCCACTTTTCTGTGGAAGGGAATAACTCTTGTGGCTTTAAAGAGACGGAAGGAGACCCCAATGGCTACAGAAACCACACGAGAGGAGAGCATATAAACTTATATTCTCCTGAGATAGTTCATCCTGCGGCACATTCCCTTTGTAACCTGGGAGGATGGAATCGTGTCCAGCGGCACGGGCTGAAGGTGCTAAATGCGATTCTTTATCTCTTGGCCAAGGTGTACTGAAGAGCTGAGGAACAGCGTGCACAGCTTTTTAACTTCCATCGGACCCTTTCTTCTCTGTTCCCACAAAGAAGAAAACTGGCCAGCCTGCAGTATTGTGTAAGGCTTAACCGGAATGCAAAAAGCTCGCCCACGGAGCGCTGATGCGCACCGAAACAGCTCCGGGACGGCTCCCGGCCGCCCCAGCATCATTCCCAGGCGGGCAGGTGGAGGCGGCTCCGCAGGGGCGGCTGTGCCTGTCAGAGCCTCGGAGCCCTCCCGCACCCCCAGCCCAGCGCTGCCCGGAGCCGGGCAGGCACCGCACACAGACCCCGCGTCACCCGCACCCGCTCCGGCCGCTCGTCCGTGAGGGGCGGCTCCTGCCCCGCGCTCGGAGCGCTCCCGGCGGGCTCGCCCCGCTCCCGCCCTTACTTGGCGTAGTAAACCCAGCCGTCCTTGGTGGTGCGCTCCTCCCAGCCCGGCGGCAGCTCCTCCTCGCTGTCCGTGTCCTCCAGCCCCGCGTACTTGAGCGCGGCCATGGGCTCGGCACGGCTCCGCTCCGCCGGCGCGCCCCGCTTCCGCCCGGCCCCGCGGCACCATGGGAGATGTAGTTCCCGCGGCACGGCCCGGTGCGGCCGGGCACTGCGGGCACCGGGGGCATGGACACCGAGGGGACGGACACCCGGCTGAGCTCCGCACAGGAGTAGAAGGGGCTTAGGCCGCTCTGCTCAGCCCTAGCGAGGCACATCTGGAGAGCTCTGTCCCATTCTGGGGTCTTCAGTACAAGGGAGACAAGGAGCCACCGGAGGCCGCAGAGATGATGCGAGGTCTGGAGCCCTCAAATGAGGAGGGACTGCAGGAACTGGGCATGTTTAATCTGCCGAAAAGACTGAAAAGGGATCTCATTAATGCATATAAATATCTCAAAGGTCAGTGCCAAGAGGATGGTGCAAGGCTGTCTTCTGTGGTGCCTAGCAGTGGGACAAGGAGCAATGGCCATAAACTAAAACACAAGTTCCACCTCAACATGAGGAATAACTTTTTTACATGGAGGGGGGCAGAGCTCTGGAACAGCTGCCCAGGGAGGTCATGGATTCTTCCTCTCTGGAAACATTCAAAATACACCTGGACATCTTCCTGTGTCACCTGCTCCAGGTGACTCTGCCTTGGAAGGGAGATTGGACTGGATGATCTCCAAAGGTCCCTTCCCATCTGAGCAGTTGTGTGATTTTCAGGGCATTAGGTGCTTCCTCTGTTTTCAAAGGAATGAATACAGCGAGACCCTGGAAAGCAATGGGAAATGAACTGTCCTTTAAGCTTTTTGCCCTTAGCTGTCTCCACCTCATCCCGGGGATGAGACTCTTCCTCGTTAGCCAGGGATCCTTGTTGAGGAAGGCCTGGCTGGAGAGAAGTACCTGCTGTGCCAGCACCCACCTGGGCCCTTGCAGGTTGCTTCACCTCCTCGGAGGCACAAACACAGTCACCTTTGTCAAGCCTGGCTCACCTGATGACACAACACAGCCAGCTGCAAAGGCTGAATTATTCAGTGGGTTGGCACTAACCTGCAGTAACTCTGTCCTGGCAACTGCAGCCCTCTCCCCTGTGCAGCTGTGACAGATGGAGGGGGAATCATGTCACCACTGCTGAGCTGCTTCTGATTCCCGGACCTGTGTGCTGTCATATTTCTGTCTGTTTACATAACCAAACCCAACAGCCAGCGGTTGTAACAGCATTGTTGTCCTTTGGTGGGATGTTTTAAACAAAAAACAAGGCAAAGGCGGCGCTGGGCAGAGGCTGTGAGCACTTCAAAACACCAGGTGGCAGTGCAGCCTCACAGATGCACCGCAGGCTCCGACCCCTCTAAGTCGAATTTTCATGCACTATTTGAGACACTGACCTATATCGTTCCCTCGCTCCCCACTAATGGCATCCATATCTGGCCAGAAAAAGCAGCCTGAATTCTTTTTCTGCCCTGCTGCTTCCCTTGCTTTGCAGGTTTCCCCGAGGGATTGCATGTACTAAATTATCTCATCCTGCTAGAAATAAAAACTCATGCATCATCAACAGCCTGTTCTCATGCGAGTATTACTGGCAGTATTTAAAAAAGCTGTGACTATGCTTTCTTGGGTAAACATATGGGAAGGGAAGCTTCAGTGGCATACTTGCTTCTGGTCTGAGAAGAGGTAACTGAATGGTGAGATGGGCCAGGTCGCAAGAAAATAGATTTAGGTTAATATCTGAAGTACAGAAAAAGAGTTTTTATCTAGCAGTAATACTGTAGGGATATGGAGTTTTTAGTTTTCTTCCTGTTGCAGTCTGTCAGTACTCAGCATCCAGCACTTTGTGAATTGCATTCAGTGGGAATGTGGAAATCATTTGTCTGACATCCTATCCCAGCCATCTGTACAGCATAAAGTCTGCATTATGCCCTGGATGAATACAGCAGCATTTCAGTGATAGGGGCATGTGCAGTGTACCCCATCCCCCCGGTGAGACTCACCCTGACCAGCAGAACCAAACCAGCCAAGAAAGGCTCCTGGGCTCCCTGCCCACACCTTAGCTCAGCCTTGGCTGTTTGCATTCCCTCCCCACATGTCCAGGCTTTCTTTGCCTACCCCAGGCAACCATGAGTGTGGACTACACAGCCACACTGTCTCCATGCTTTGGCTCTGGGTCCCTCTGCAGGGAGTGGGGCTAGTCTGGAGTGACCCAGCACAAGGCAGACACTGACACACTCAAGCAGAGACAAGGACTAGGATGTAGGGAGAGGATCCTTCCCAGGTAGGGCTTCATGCTCTTGGAAAGGGCTATGGTCTAGGACATCCAGACCTTGATGGGGAGACAAACAGGAGTCCTGGCAGTGGACAGGGAAGCTGAATCTCCCAAGGACCCTGCTCATCCTCAGAGCTATGCTGCCACGTTTCTTTTCTTCTCCAGTGGACACCCCTTGGATCCAAGGTCCTTGGGCTACAACTGGCAGCTTTCCAGCCTCCATCCACTCTTTACATATAGGGCAGCCTGCCTATGGCTACCCAGAAGCCAAAGCACCCCACAGCTTTCCCCCATGTGTACCCTGGGGTCCTGGCCTCTCTTCCATGGGCATCACTAGTGGGGTTGGTGGCCAAGGCGTGTCCCCTTTGTCCTCTGTGCCTGCCAGGTCTGTGCAGGCAGGCCCCAGCTAGGCTCAGAACCATTTCCCTGCAGCATGTTGTAAAGAGCACAGCAGGTTCTTAACATCTTTATTAGTTAGTTGGTTTATTTCCAACACAGCAACTCCTCTCTACAGCAACAGGTTAGTTAAATCCGGTTTACATATTGCTGTCTCATGAGTGCTGCGGCCTCGATGCCGCTGTGACAAAACCAGGCTGCACTCAGACAGGAAAATGTGTTAAATTCCGCTGTGACTGGGGAAAAAAAAAGGAAAACCAACAAAAATCAAAAGAACAAACCACCAGGGAAAACCAAACCAACCAACCAACAAAACCAAGGTGAGGAACTGAAGGCGAGCACGGCCACACCACCTCCAGGGAAACCACACGGCACTGCTTGGACAAGAATGCAAGGAGGAGTGAACCCAAAAAGTCAGGGATTGGGCAAACCCTTATATATATATTATATATAGGTATTTATATATATATATCATCTGGAAGGACACGCTGAGAAAACAAGAGATCGCAGCGGTATCTACCGTAAAAAGGAGCTACGTAGCTTTCAGAGTCACACCAAGAAGGAAGCACACAGCAGAACAAAGTGAGGGACAAAGGGGGACACTGATGTTTTGGGGTGGCCTTTACTATGGGAGTGGGGCACGGGTCTCAGGGCCAAAAGCCCTCATACACCCGCTGGGAGCCCCAGGACCTCTGTGCCTTTCACTGGGAGCAGGGGTGGGGTCTGAGGGTAGAATGCTTTTGTGGGGCTGGGTGGGACCTGCTTCCTGCGGGCTGGTTCTGCTCGCCCAGGGGGTGGCATCTGGTGGGTCCCTGCTCAGGTCCCCCATGGACCACCTACAGAGACCTGAGCACCCATCCAGAGCCAGGGCCATCCTTACCTGTGCCTCACAGCGGGCACAGGAGGGGCTGGGCACTGCTGCTCTGGCAGCAGAGGCTGGGTGGCCATCACTGGGGTTATGCAATGACAGGGTCTCCATGCCGAGTGCGAGTGGCAAGAGCCACCTGGGGTTGGTGGCTGGATGGGGCCCCACGGCCCAGGGGGAGCCAAGCCCTTGAGAGACGCCCTGCTCAGTGTGCAGGCAAAGTGCTGCAGGTGGAGACTGTGGATTTGGGGAGCCATGGTGGGTCCAGCCAGCCCTATGGGCAAAGCCAGACCACGGAGTGCTCCCCACATCCCATGGGTCACCCCACACTGCCAGCACCTTGCAGTGAGGCACCCTGCAGGGCAGAGGGTGCTGAGGGCTCCCCAGCATGGCGGGGGGAGTGTCTCATCTTATTGCTAACGGCTCCTCGGTGATGACACCCACAGGTTGTGGCAAAACTTGAGGTGGGATTTGCTGTGTGACATCCCCTAAAACAGTGGCCTCTGGACTCTGGAAGGCTCAGCCCAAAAGCTGGGAGTGGAACTGGCAGTGTGGCAGTGGCCAAGCCAGCCCATTCCCCCCTCCCCAGTGCATTTTTGGTGGCAGGCGGTAGTTGTCCTTCTTGCAACAAGGGACGAAGGAAGTGCCACCACCAGTGAGGGCATGGGCAGAGGCAGGGGGACACTCATGCCACCCTCCTGCCCTTATAGCTGCTGGAGTAGGGCTGACCCCTCTTCACTTGCCCCAGGGCAGCCCTCAAGGGTACATGACTGGGGCGAAGGGACAGTTTGGGATGTGATTTCTCACGAGGCCCAGCCAGCTCTGGGGTAGCAAGTCCTGGGTGTGCTGGGGGATCCCGTGCTAGCTCTCCCTAGAGAGGGCCATCGGGGAGAAATGAAAACTGCATCCCTCGGAACAGACCGGTGACCTCCCAGTAAGCACTGCTCCCCATTCCTGTCTTCCTTTTGGTCAGCCATCAGTTGAACTTGGGAGACCAACCTACCTCCTGTGTCCTCTCCACGTGCTGTCCCATCCCATCATCCCGTCCCATCCCAACATCCTGTCCCCACCTCACCACCCTGACCCTGCTACCCCATCCTGGCACTGTCCCCGTGCCACCCACCCTCCTAAGCCGGGGCCAAGCCGATGCTAGGGAGGGTGAGGACCAGTGCAGAACCATGTGTGACTGCTGGACGAAGCCCCTCTCCTTCTCCTGTACCAGACAAGGGGATGAGGCCAACGGCAAAGAAGACAAATTGACCCCGAAGAAGCGAGGGCCCTGGTGGAGGATGTCCACGGGGCGGGTGGGTGCTGGCGGGATGCTGACGGATGGGAGATGGCTCTGAAGGAGACGTCGGCGGCGGGCGTGGACCTCAGCACGATACCTCCATGGTGTGGTTGATCTGCCCCATGGCCTCGGTGCTCTCCGAGTGGGTGCAGGCGCGTGGGCGGGTGCCATCCACGGAGCTGGCGCTGGTGAGGGAGGCCGTGCGGGAGCGTGCCAGG